TGTCTTCAGACAAGAGAAAAGTCTTCCAAGGCCACAAGTGCAGAAGAGGGAGTTTGGTCTTTTCCTGCGGAGCCTGGCTTTTGTGCTGAGCACCTTTCACAAGTGAAGCAGCAAAGCCTGATACTGCGGCTCTGGAAGTGTTTGATTATAGCCCACGTGTGAGCAGATGGAAGTGGAGAGCTCCAATGGCCTCACTTCTAGGTCTCATCTTTTTTTTTTTGTCTTTTTCTTTTTTATCAGTACCAGGGATCGAACTCACGACTGTCTGCTTGCAAGGCAGGTGGTTATGCCGCTGAGCTAAATCCCCAGCCCCTAGGTCTCATCTTACTTTTGGTGATAGGACAGTTAATACTGAACAACAACAACAAAAAAGGCACACAGAGCACAGCCATAAAGTGTACATGTGCACAAACACCTTCCGGTGTGCCCAGGATGGCAGTTGATGTTCCCTTTCCACCCTGTGCCATCTCTGTAGAGATGACACTGTGGATTTCAAAGGTACCTACCCACTATGTGCCCAGAATAATAGTTATCTTTTGCAAAAGATGACTGTGAGCTTTGCAAGGTGGCTCAGACTCAAGGCTGACTGCCTGCTGACTCAGCTACCAAAGCCCAGGGTTGGGTTGGTATTTTCATGGGGGAGATAGATCAGGTTTGCAGGCATAGTGAGGTGCCTGAGCTTAGGAGGTGCAAAACAAGGAGCTAGTTCTGTCTGGACAGGTTGTATCATCACTTTCCTGTCAGCTCCCATGGAGAGAGCAAAACCCAGAGACTGGAAGCAGAGCCTTTGTAGTGGCCCAAAACAGTTGCTTTTTGGATCATTTAATCCAGTATCAGATTTTATTTATAACACAGGATGTCCACATTGGAGAGTTTCTCCATTTTTTATTACTATATGTGATTCTTTATTATGCACAATGAAAAATTTTATTTAGGTAATATGTGCATATAGCCTCATAAAAATCAGACAACACGAAAGTGTATAGAGTAGAAAAGTGCCTCTTATCCCCCAATCTCTCCTTTCCACTATAAGATTTGAATGGATTTCCCTGCTCCATGCATTTATAAACATGAGCACACATGGAAAACAGACTTCAGTGGGTTTTTTTTTTTTTTTTTGTCTTTTTCATTTTTATTGGTACCAGGGATCGAACTCACGACCACCTGCTTGCAAGGCAGGTGCTTATGCCGCTGAGCTAAATCCCCAGCCCCTTGTTTTGATTTTGAGACAGGGTCTCACTCTGTAGCCCAGGTTGGCCTCAAACTCAGGGTTATCTTCCTGCCTCAGCTACCTGAGTACTGGGATTACAGGCATTTGAGGTCTTATTTTTAATACTGTAAATATATTTTCATATACCTATTTTTTTTTTTTTGTCTTTTTTGAGACAGGGTCTCTATGCAGTTCAGGCTGGACTTGAGCTCAATTTGTAGTCCAGGCTGGTCTTCAACTTGCAGTGATCTGCCTGCCTCAGCCTCCCAAGTGCTGGACTTACAGGGATGTGCCACCCCGCCTGGTTTCTACATACTAGTTTTGTATATCCATTTTTACACTGTATATATTATTTTGTAATTTATTCTTCACTATCAATGTATCTTTGGAGTGCTATGGGACTACATTTTCACAAAGGGACACACAGAATTAATGTTCCATAGTGTGTATGAACCATAATTCAACTGGCCTGTTTGCTACTGATTAATATTTGGGTTGTTTTTGAGTTTTTCAACATTAAGTAGAAGTAGAATTGCAGGATTAAAATTTATGTGAACACTGGTAAGTGACCTCCAGAGGGTTTACCAATTTGCATTCCCACAGCAGTGTAACAGTGCCCATTTTCTTTTTTTTTTTTTTTTTTTCCTTCTTTTTTCCGGTATTGGGGATCGAACTCACGACCGCCTGCTTGCAAGGCAGGTGCTTAGGCTGCTGAGCTAAATCCCCAGCCCCAACAATGCCCACTTTCACATGTTCATACCAGCTGGCTCTGAATATCCATTCACTCAACAAGTAAATATTTAACAACTATGTGCAAGGTGCTATCTTATCACAAGGAACATCTGCTTTGTGGCACTTAGCCTAGTGGAAACAAAATGTACTATTTATCATTCATGTGTGATTCAGATTGTCTTTGAACTCATTACATAGTTCAAACTGGCCTCAAACTTGTAATCCTCCTGCCTCAGACTTCTAATGCTGGGATTACAAGGATGTGACATCACACCCAGTTTATATCCCTACAGTTTAAATTTATTTTGAAATGGGGTCTAAGTAAGTTTTCTAAATTGCCACAAAGGACTCAAATTTAAGTTCTCCTGCCTCAGTTTTCTTGAGTGCTAGGATTGTGTTATGGTTTGTCTCTGGATGTCCCCCCAAAGCCTTATGCAGTCATGTGGCCAGGCTTCTACCACTTGTGATTGATTCAAAGTCCAATGCTGGGATTATGGGTGTGAGTGCTACACCTACCTTGGCATGAGCGGCCTACATACAAGGGACAGAGTCTTCTCTGCTGCTCCTCCCTTTGTTATTGTTGCTTTCACTATTTTTGCGGCTATGAACTGTTGCTCCTCTGCCTTGCCACCCTGCCTTGGAGCCAGCAGATTACAGACTGGAACCTCTACAATTGTGTGCTAAATAAACCTTTCCTTCCTCAACTTTGCAAGGTGGTGGGTATTTTGTCCCAGCAATGAGAGAAAAGTAACCAACCCAGATTGTAAGCATTTGTCACTGTGTCCAGCCAAAAGATACAGATATTCATGTAGCTTTGTTTGCTATACCAACGTGTAACAAATGTGTATTCAACCTCTCTGTGAGATTAATTTCTCATTGTGGTGTATTAACTAACGGTCAACTTCTAACACCCAGCTAAACTGAATCAGTGTGGTTCTGGGTGTGGAAGGCCACTTGAAGATCATTGCCATTAGCAGAAAAGAACTGAAAAGGAAGATGGTGTGCTGTTGATTCTCTTGGAGCAGCTTGTCACAGTGGCTTTCCTGATACAAACATGGCTGTCCTCACTGTCGGAGGAGCTCAGGTCCTTGCTGTCACTGAGGATGGCTGTAGTTCTTTTTGGGGAGCTCTGGTTTTTGCCTTGAGCATCATTTTCTGGCTTCAGTGCAGATCCCTGAGTCTATTGGTGCAGATCCTTCAGCCTGCTGGCACAGATTTCCTAGCTTCTGCCACTGACCTTTGGGCCTTGCCAGTACAGATCCTTGGTACAGGCTTGCAGAGACATTGTTGTCAGTTCTAGGCCTCTGGTTGGACTGGTGCAGGACACTGCCATGGGCTCAAGGTCTTCAGCTGGACTCATGCAGGACATTGTCTTGGGACTCAGGCCATCAGCTGGATTCTTGTCTCTAGTGTGTGCACAGAACTATTGCACTCTTCTGCATTTGACTTTTTGGGTGAATATTAGAAAATAATCCTATGAATCGTGTCTTGTATTAAATATATTCCCTAGTAAACCCTGACTACAACTCTCATTTTAAAATACAGAACTGCAGAGCTAGTATGTATCACAAGAATTGGCCAAACCTTTTTTCTTTTGTAGTGCTGGGAATTGAACTCAGGCTGTTGGGCATACCAGGCAAGTGATCTACTATGTAGCTACATCCCCAGCCTGTCAAATCTTGTGGATGAGAAAACTGAGGCTAAAAAATGTTAAGTGAGGCTCAATTCAGTGGCTCATTCAATATCATACAGCTGTTGAGATTGTTATAAGGTTTTTTTTATTTTTAAAGACATGGTTTTGCTATGTCGTTCAGGCTAGCTTTGAACTCACCACGCAGCACAGGTTGGCCTCCAATCTACTGATCATTCTGCCTCAGCTTGCCCATTGCTGGGATTACAGGTATGCACCATCATGCTCAATAAAATTCTTGATAACTATTCCACTTCTACTAAACATCTTACTTTAGGAAGCAATCTGTCTTATTAAGAAAATTAATTTGAGAGCCAAAACTCCATCTATCTCCATGGGGACTCAAATTTGGATAGGTAGCTAATCAAAAAGCAAATCCAAAAAACGTCACTCAAGCTAAGAAACAAGATTTCTACTGCTATTCCAACTGTAACCTTTGAAAGGAGGAAATAGGTGAGGTGACTTTCCTATTTAGTTCCTGCAGCCTCTTGGTCATGCTGAGATCAACAGTCACTCCCAGGGCTTCTCTCTGCCTCATTACCACTCTAATTTGCCTAAGTTGAATCCACATAGGGTACTAGGGTTTTTTTCCTACTCTAATATAAACAGCTTTCCAATGAAGGGGAAAAGGGTAAGACCAGCTTATCTAAGTGAAAAAGAAACTGAGCAAATTGGAACTCTGAGAAGCTGAGTCCATACTGCTTAGCAATAATACATCTATGTCTGACTGATGCTGCAGGACCATTCTAAGAAAATTTGAACAAGGGGTGACAATGGGCAATAGGTATGGGACTACAGCAAAACAACAGAGTTCTAAGTGGATCTGTCTTAACCAAACAGACTTTATTGCAAGGGAAGATGCAGAAAGTGTCAGGCTGATCAGGGACGACATCTAGAAATGACACTTGAGTGTGACACTGGACAAAACCACCACTGCTGAGTGTAGCATCTGCCTTCCTAGACTCTTTCAAAAAGCCTCACAAAGGCCTGCAAAACAGCAATTTACGCTGACTGCAGAAAATCTGGGAAATATGAGTATTAGCCTTTTCGATGCATATATACATTTAAAAATATCTATAAATGAGGTAATATTATTTTAAAGCTCAGTTCATATATTAAGTATTTCTTCTATTTATTAAATATGTCTCTAGTATATACTGTTTTGGCGTAGTTGTTGGCAGAATATAATTTCATTAAATAAGCCCCTTTTATATGACAATGTTGTTGTTCCTAGATTTGTAGTCTAAATTTCAGGTAGAAGTAGAATTGCCAGGTCAAAGTTATTACCTTTAAAAAAAGGTCAGATATATACTTTCTTTTTAAAAAAAGATTTTCAATGCAAGCGAAATTTTCAGAAAAACACAAATGTAATTTCATTATATTTATTTAGTACACATATTTCCAGTTTTTAAGTTACGTAAACATTCTGTACAAATTTAGGTTGTAAAGTGATTAACTGAATTTTTTCAAATATAGCATTTCCCCATATTTCAAGTTGTTCTTGTGACTTGTATGCAGGGTCTTTGTATAGTCAAGGGCGCTCCACTATCATTTGTTGAAAGACAATACTGTCATCAACCAACGCCTAATATTTTGAGCTTATTTCAAATTTTCACTTGTGTAAATATTCTTTTTTTGGTGTCTTTTTTTTCTTTTTATCGGTACCAGGGATAGAACTCATGACTGCCTGCTTGCAAGGCAGGCGCTTATGCCGCTGAGCTAAATCCCCAGCCCCGGTGTAAATATTCTTACATAAAATCCGTTTTATGTAAGCTCTGATCGTTTCTGGATTGAGGATTGAACCCAGGCATGACTTCAGGACTTCATGCTGAGCCGCATCTCCATCTTCTGCCCGCCTCTTCCCCCCTTTTTTTGTTTTGAGATTAAGTCTTACCGGGTCACCAAATTGTTCTGGTTGGGGTTGAGTTTGCAGTCTTCTTGCCTCAGCCTTCTGGGGCACGGGGATTATAGGGGTGCCTAGCTTTTCTGGTATTTTCAAAGACAGGGTCTTGCTATATAGTCTGGGTTGCTCTTGAATTTGCTATGTTGTCCTAGCTGTCCTTGAAACCTCCTGGTTTCAACCCAAGTGATTACAGGTGCGCACCAACATGCCCAGCCCTCTAGAAGTAAAATTTTTGTGCCAAAAGTACAATAAAATTAGGATGGCCATGTAATTCACAATCAAACCATCTCTGAGAAGGCAACTTTATCTGGGAGGGGGAAGGAGACCAATTTCCCCAGGCCTAAAGTTTGTATCTCTACTCTTTGATGCCAGACCGGTGCTTATACCGCTGAGCTAAATCCCTAGCCCCATCACCATACATACCCTAGAGTGAGAGAGGTAAGATAGGGAGTGAGAAGGGACAAGGTAGGACAAGGACAGAAGAGGGATAGAGAAGGGGAGTGGGAAGAGAGAGCGAGACGATAAGCTCGAGCACGTGCACTATGCAGACAAACCTGCTGACTGGGTCACTGAGCTTGTTCTCCCCAGGACAGGAATCTGCTCTTGGCTGCCTGTCCCCACCTGCTTTTCATAGGAGGAATACCCACCTCATGGAGGGGGTCCATGGTTTGGATATTGGGTACACCATGGCTCCTGAACATAAGCCAATGCTGATACTTGCTTGAACAAAGAGTAATCGTTCTTTTGCTAAGGATACATAGCCCATGTTGGTTTACTGAATGACAGAATGTTGGTTTTAGGTACTTTACATTTAGCGTACATTCTGAAGAGATTTAAGGAATTTTTCTACTGGTAAATGATACATAACTTTCTCATCAGGTTTACACCTAAGCGGTCTACAGTCATTTTTATTATTTAAGTAAAAAGTTAGTTGGGCATGATGGCACATTCCCAAAATCCCAGCACTTGGGAAGGCCGAAGACAGGAGGCATGCCATGAGTATGAGGCCAGCCTGGACTACATAGTGAGACCCTGTCTCAAAAAACAACAAAAAAAGGAAAACATTTCCAGATTCGGTGGTGTACACTTATAATCCCAGCATTCAGGAGACTGAGGCAGGAGGATTATTGTAAGTTCAAGGCCAGCCCAGGTTACATAGCGAGTTAAAGATCAGCCTGGAATACGTAAAGAATCTGTTTCAAACAAAACAAAACAAACCCAACTCAACCCAAACCTATACCATGTGAACTCCATACTCAATACTGGTAATTAAAAAAAAAAAAGCAGGACAGAGGAGATATGCAAATTCAGCAAGGCATGTTGCAAGCAGCAAGCAATAAAATGATTTCCAGCCAATGTTTCACACAGACAGAACCCTTACAATAATAAAACATCTGGCAATTTAAAGTTCTCTTTATAAATACCAAAATTCCTTTGGGAAGATAGAAGTATACTTTTTTTCCTTTCCCACTTTATGAATGAAGAAACTGTAGACCAGAAAAAATGTAAAATAGCATGGTGCGGGGTACAGCAAGTCACACTGGTGGAGATGCAGAGTAAAAGCATTTCATAAATTTTACAGGCTATCTTCAGCAAGACAGTAGGGACTGGATCATCAAGGCACATTCTCTCCTGTGAGGCAGCCACAAAGAACATTTAGGACAGAGCAGGGTGGTAGAGGGCAAAAACAGCTAGAGGGCTTTAATAGCCCCAAACAGTACAGCAGACAGGAAGAAGAAAAATCTAATCCCAGATACACTAACCCTGGAAGAGATAGAGATCTTTAATTTAAAACCAAGTAAGTTTATTCATAGAGAAAACAGTGACAGGAAACCCTCAGGACATTTTTACTCCAACAATTAAAACTGCATTGAAAAGTCAACCAGGAGTTTGGAGACTTACATATGTGAAGAAAGCATTATTTTTCTCTCTCTTCAGTTTTATCTTTAGGACAAAAATGATAGATTAATTTTTTTCTAGGCAATAAGATTTCCAGTGCTGTTGTCTTCATGTGCATAAAATTCATCTGTAGAGTCAGAGAAGATGCCAGAAAAGAGCAAAGAATTTGATGATGATGGTGAGCTGATTTTAATGGTTACTTCATGGAATCATAATTTTACTAGTTGTCGCGGTAAGTGGGTGGCTTGGGTTGTTAACATATATATTGCCATTAATCTGAGGTACTTAAACACCAGAGTCATGTAAAAGCCCACTGACCTCTCTCAGATGTAATGGCAGAGGCTAAGAGGGCTGTGTCCTACCTCCCTGGTATGATCACACACACTTCCCATTAGCTACATAGGACTGGACTATGTCAAACCCTTCTCTGAGCAAAGTGTTATCAGTTTAATCTCTAGGATGGGTTCCAAGGCAACAGTATGATCATGATGAGCTCCTCCCTATCTGGTTTGGGCTCATGTTGCTCCAAGAGTCCACGAATCCACGGTGCTCAAAGACCTGCCTGAGTAACAAAAGGGGACCCCCAATTCTCAGCTGTCAAGGTTTAACCTAGCCCGTTTTACTTGGTTATTCTGGCCACCCAGATGGCAGAAATCTTCAGTGGTGACATCTCTTTTATTCTCCTCCATGGGTTCCAAAGGGAAGTCCTGGTCTTTGGCAAGTACCTGTCGGACAGTCATGTTAACACGAGCGGTCCTCAAGTAGCTGGCACACACTTGCCGGTCCTCCACAGAACAGGGCTCTACCACTGCATCTTTGGGGAGGATAGCTGGGAGTGGAGTTTCCAGGCAGTGAGGCAGGCCTTCTCCCTCAGGATTTGGAAGGACTCGAGGAACAGCATGGTTCAACAAGCGGCTGAAACCTGACATTACCATAATGTCACCACTGTGCATAAACATGGCTGTAGGGGTCTCATCTCTTTTGAGGCCACCCAGTAGAAAGATAGCAGACTGTCCAAAGCTATCAAAAAAAAAAAAAAAAATTAAAAATAGAAGATTTTTGTTATGAACCACAGTTACGAAAATTGCCAACTGCATAACGTTGTAATTTCAGTTTGGTATTTATTGCTCCTAAATCCTCATTTTTAAATTGGGCTAAGATCTTTCTCTTCTATGTCTGAGTGACCAATCTATGATCTGCTAGAAATATAACAACCCACAGACTGGCTACAGAGTGAAACTCGATGAAGTCATAAACAAATAAAGAACTGAGTTCTATCACTGTTTACGTAAATTTTATTGATGTATCTTTTTAAAATTTCAGTCTTCCAATAAAATGGTTTATATCCTTCACTATGTACATCATTCCTTTAAAGATAAAGCCAATTAAAAAGGGACACTTTCTTTTGAGATACTGGTGCAGAAGTTTGCACAAAGTGAAGCTGATATTTTAAGGAGAGTATTCAGCTTCTGTGTCTTGATCTACATTTTGTTCCACTATTCCAAAAGGTTGCTTACTTTGCTTTATAGCTTTCCTTATACTTGTCTGTTGCACAGAGTACTAATAATATCTTTCATTATACACCTGATCTTAGCCAAAAGGCCAAGAAGAGATATTATACCTTTCATTATAAACCACATACTTCATGTGTCTTAAACAAAAACAGTAACTAATTTGGCCACTGCTTTTAGAAGAGCTAAAAGGCTTAAAATTTTAAATTTTACTTTCTGATACACTGTAATGTGCCAAGAGGTGAAAGATGATAAAGCCCTTTAAAAGATTAATGTCTTTATTTAAATAAAAAATGCATTAGAAAAAAAATAAATAATAAAATGCAATCCTGATTTATGGATGCACGTTGAGAACATACTCATTAGTGAAATAAGACACATAAGTGTAAACGTCAGATTATTTCATTAGTTTGACGAGCTGAAAGAAAAATATACGTATATGTGTATATATATGCATATAAAACAATGGTTAAGATAGTTATACTACTATTTTCTCTGAGTCTGCCAAAGAGAAAGAGTTGTACTGGTATTTTTCAGACAACTGAAGGCAGATGTCTTTTACTCTGGGTGAATGATTTAGGGATGATAATGCGCAATGTATGTACCACTGTTACCCTCTGATTGATGTGCTCTGAAATTTGATTGTAGTTCTTTTTTTTTTTTTTTTTTTTGGTTTATGTTTGAATAAAATGGATGGGAGGGGGGAGACAAGCAAGTCAGAATCCCTGGAACTAACTTACCTGAATGACAACAGGGGTCTGGAGTGATCCAGTTCAGATCTGTCTACATGGATGCCCAGTGTGGAGTCTAAGCGGTAGTAATTCAGGATGCCTGCTTCAGCTCGGAAGCCCTGAAATCCACAGGCAGCAGCTACTTGCTCTGAGAGGAAAGCCAGGTCAGAAGGAAAAGGTGTATAATGATCTGCTGAGTATTTCTTTGATAAAAGCAGGGAAAATAAAAAAAAATAAAGATCTCAGGAACATAGGAAACTAGGGCAAATGAATAATTACTTTAAAATCCTCTAACTTACAAAATAATACTAACATGCCAGTAGCACTGTCTACCCATCCATTTTTTTTTTCAGAGTTGAGAATCAAGCACAGGACTTCATGCATACCAAGCAAGCATTCTACCCTTGATCTATACCTGGAGTCCCATCACCCATTCTTAAGGCATTCAACAATCTGATAATAAACTATTCAAAATACTGAGCACATATTAAATGACAAGCACCATGCTGTGCACAAATTCACACTGTATGAAGACTATACATGAAGCAATTATTCTAATACTTTCAAGTACACTTAATCCTAAGCAGTATTGTTCTTTAAGTGTAAAAAAAGCAACTCAAATGGTTGCTGTTCAAATACTTAAGAAAATAAGAGGACTAAATGTAATGTGTACTCTGGAAGAGATTCTGGAGCAGAAGCATGTACAAGTTTAAAACCTAGGTCAATGAGATGAAGTATGGACTTTACTGTTACAATGATACACTACTACTGATTCACTAATTAAGACAAAGGTACCATACTAATCACAGATGTTACTAAGTAGGGGGAACTAGGTATATAGCATCTTGCTATACTATCTTCTTAACTTTTCTATAAATTTAAAACTATCCTAAAATAAGAAGTTTGTTAAGATGGCAACCCAAACTCTATAACCAGCCTACATCATGCCTTAATGCCAATTTCACAGGTCAGGCTAATGAAATATCGTACTCAGAACATCTGAAGTATGACTTTTATTATGGCTAAGGTAGGACCTTAAAATGGAAGTATTTTCAGCACTTATTTCTCTAAAGTGCTTGTTTTTAGCCCCCAAGGATTACAAGTGCTACCTCCTAACCAAATAAACCAAGGTTATAACACTGTCTAAATATCTCGCTGCACACAATTTCTACCTATTTGTTCATTCACAGCTTCCTACACAGAGGGGTCTAAGGTTATCTGGCTGTGTGTGCTTGCCATAGTTCCATACTCTCCGTCTTAAGCCTCCTGTGCTCTCACTTCTTTGCTAAGTCAACCTCAAATCTGGTCAGAAAATGTACTTTATCTCACATCTTTACTAGAATCCTGATGTATTCCAGCTGGAACAACGAAGCCACAGATCTAGAAAGGGCCTTGCTCTGGCAGAACTGAACTTTAACTTTAGATGCAAGGAAAACTTATGTGAATTTTTCTTTTACTGAATTGCAAGTAAGAAAAGATCCTATGTAGTTCTTGAAACAGGTTTCCTCTAGCATTTTACACTTTAGTCTCTTAGAGGACTGACCTGTCTGGGTGACCAGTCTAGCTCTAGATAGCTGATGCTACAATGAAATAATTACCTTTTTGGCCTTTCAACTCTATCCAAACCATCTATGTACTATCTTTTTTTAAATGGTATACTTTGTCAACTTCCCTCAACTTTTACCTTTCTCTGATTATTCAGAATTTCTGGCCAGGCTTAGTAGCACACACCTATAATCCTAGCACCCAGGAGGCCGCAGCAGAGGAAGTGCTGTGAGTTTGAGTCCAGCCTCGGGTACACAGTGAGTTCAAGGTCAGCCTGGACTACCCAGCAAGACCTTGTCCAAAAACACCAAAAAACAAAAACCCCAAGAATTTTTGATTTTCACTTCCCATTTTCTCAGCAAACAAGCCTTTCTGAGGTCCTTAAAAATGACAACATGAAAAACAACAGCTAACTTTTGTGAGCCAGTGCATCTAACTGCACTGTTATAATCACTTCATTCTCACATACTTTATGAGGCAGGAATTATCGTCAATGGAGGTAGGAATCAAACCTAGATTGGTCTAACTCAAAGATAATCACTAGGCCATTTTCCTACATAGAAGCACCTTATTTAATTTGTATCAATGAAAATAATAACAAATATTTTTAAAGCAATATTTGTCATTAATTGGAAGTTAATACATTTGTTTGTTAAATTGTTTGTAAAAAAAAAAAAGACCTTTTAACAATACCACACTTGTGTTTTTGAGACAAGGTCTTGCTATGTAGTTCTGGCTAGCTTTGTAGCCAGGCTGGCCTTGAACTTTCTACAATCCTCCTGCATCAGCCTCCCCAGGGCTGGGTTTATTAAGTGTGTGCTACTATGCCCAGCTAATGAACCCTTCAAAGACTAACTAGTTAGCAGGCACAGAAGATGGTCTCTACCGGCAATCTTTATTCACTTATTCTTAGAATTAGCCCTCTCATTTGGTGTCAAATACCTCATTGAGGCAAGAAGTACTATGCTGTTAAGTGACAAAGGATGCATTTTTTTGGTAGCACGGAAGACAAGAAGGAAGCCACTGTAGCTCAAGAAAACTTTTTCAATTATAAGAAATTCATTCCTACCTCTCTCCTGCTCAGACATTTATCTGGCACCTTCTGGTAGATAAAGGTATCTGGATCTTGAAAGTTCTTTCTCCTTCTGTTTTTTGTATTTTTAAGACAGGGTCTCGCTATGTGGCCCAGGCTGGCCTCAAACTCAGTGATCCGCCTGCTTCAGCCTCCAACCACCGTGCCCATCGTGAAAGCACTCTCTAAGAATACTCTTAAGTACACATGGCTTCTTTTATTCCAAGCAGGTAACATGGGAAAAAAAAAACTGCTCAACAAACTAAACTATAATGAAAACAAAAGATAACTCAGAATTGCTCTTGAAAGCAGTAAAGAGAAACCTGTGTCTCTGACAGACTTTGAGAAAGCACTGATCACTCTAGGATTCCAAGGTGTATGAAAACAAGATTTTTCTCCTGATAAATTATTTATTCCTTTTGAGATACCTGAAGAGAGCTTTTTAAGCAGAGTAAGTGAAACGAATCCTTTCACTTAGATAATCTTTGCTATGATAATACTTTAAGCTTGACCACACAGAGAATAAAAAAAAATCAACTACATGGGCCCAAAAACCATGTAAGTGAAAAACAAATATATTAAGAAAATGAAATACCTTACTATCCCAGTTATAATGGTAGCCCAAGGTCACCCAGCGCAGTTTCTCTAGTAAACTTCTTGGCCTTCGTTTATTCAATTCTTTACACCTGCAATGATTGGCAACAAAAGAGGATATATTCATCTTAAATAGCAGCAATAGTCCTCTGTACGGTCATTAGAGTCTAAAGTTAGTAGCCAAGGTTTGGCAGGGAAATGAGTACAGAAAATTGAGTTAAGAATACAGTGACAATCTAAGATGACAATATGTTAAAAAAAAAATACAGTAACAAGACTGGGGATTTAGCTCAGTGGCATAAGTGCCTACTTGGCAAACGCAAAGTCTTGAGTTGGATCCCAGTAAAAACAGTAACAATACAAAATATTTAGTGTTTCATTTCTAATTTTTTTTTTGAGACAAGGTCTCACTAGGTAGCCCAGGTTGGCCTCAAATGCAGAGTGATCCTCCTATCTCAGCGTCCCAAGTGCTAGGATTATAGGCCCTATTTCTAATTTTCAAGTCTTTAGTTCCAAATTTTCTGCTGAATGGGATCAAGCTTAAGGACAAGTCTCTAGCATTTCAATAATGATAAAACAAGAATAATGGGGAAAAATGCGATGACAGAAATGTTGTTATCTGTCAAGGGGAAATGGGACCAATAGCATTATGGTCAATGGAAAATAAAACTAAGGCTAAGGCTACCAGTATTTTCAATTTCATTTGCTCAAAGTGGGGCATAATTAATCCTAGTTACTACAGGTATAATGTTGGTGGTTTCTCAGACTTGCAGGTTGAGAGAAAAGTTTGGCAAAATATAGTATATGATCAAAAATAACTGGTTTAACATGACTTCTACAATCCTGTATAATAGCTTAGACAATTGAGGATCAGCTAACAGGGCACCACTCAAATGATTTGGTTTCTCCTATGCTATTGTTCAAATCACAGGAGGTTTCTGTAAAAAGAGAAGTGGCCTTTCTACAATTTAATTATCAATAATTAAATCTATGGGGTTAACTAGTATTCTTCTAAAGAGAAAGACTGGTTCATCTCTAAAATCTGAATGTTATTTTTCTCTATATAATTTATAACACTAATCAAATTTACTTACTGATTTATGCATTCCTTTATTTGAGACAGTACAGTTCAGGCTGGCCAACCTTGAACTCACTATGTGGCCCAGGCCTGGGTAAAAATTATTTTTGTGGTATTAGGGATTGAACCCAGGACCTTGTGCATGTTAGGTAAGTACTCTAGGGCAGGACTATTTCCTCAGCCCTGTTTGTTTTGAGATGGTATAGCTAAGTTGTTCAGTCTAGTTTAAACCCATGATTCTCCTGCCTTAACCTTCCAAGTGCTAGGAGGGTGTGCCTGGCCTCAAGGCAGTAATTCAGTACTTCAGTGAAGTTTAGTATTAAAGTGAAGCGCACAGACTCTTTTTTTTTTTTCAGACTTTCAGTTTTACTAGAATTAAGAAACGAGGAGCTCAAAGTTAGCTATCTAATCAGTTAAAGCTTCATGGTAGAGCTGAGAATTGCACGTGGCATGAGAGAATGGGCAGCATTTAAACAAGTTGTATACAGTAGCAACATGGGAACTCCACAAGAGTGAAAGTGAAGGATTTATTGGAAGTCCACAATGTAAGTGGCACTCATCTTGACATTTGACAAAGAATTCCCAGAGGAGATGCTATCTGTTCTCAATTAATTCACATTCTAAGGACATCATGATAGACATACATCAGTAACAGTAGATAAAAAGAATGAAATAAGCAAACACTGATTTATTTAGGACAGGTGTGTGGACAAGAGATAAAAGCAGACCTGGCTGCTACCCTTATGAGGAAGATCCTTGAGCAGCATCTAGAGCCTGGGTTTGGGAGATTCAGGGTAAGTAAGAGTGGCTCAACTGTCTGCATAAATACTATGGCTTATACCAAATGTTTGCCTTCCTTCCAGTGTCTGGATTTATATGTCAGAAAATGCTGCCTCCATGACCAGACTCTGGTGAAAACCCAGGCACTGAATTTCTCTGGCAGACACTTCACAGATTTGGTTATAACTCACTGCTGGGAGGATTAAGCAAATCTGATTTTCCCTGAATTTTTGCTCTATGTGCTTTAATGTGGTTTGGAATCATTTATAGGACTTATTAAAACTCTGGTGCCTGGGTGTACATCTACAAATTCTGATTCAAGAGGTATGAGGTGGAATTTACATTTTTAACAAGTATTTTTAAGAATCTATATTTGTAAGAATCTTTTTTAACGTGTTATTAAAGGATACTGATGCCACTAGTCTAGGGATCACATGCTGAGAACCACTATTTAGCCAAAATGAAAACAAAACAAAACACCTTCTATCTTTTTCTAGCTCAATAATAGATCATTTTATTCTTATTTCCTTTGTGGTACAAGGGACTGAACTAAGGGCCTTGCACATACTAGGCAAGCAATCTACCACTAACCTACATCCTCAGTCCTAGATCATCTTATTCTTGACAAAGAATCTGTACTATATCAAAACCAGAATATCTCAACCATTCAAATAACATTAATGACGCTTTGAAATAATTCAAAAGGTCCTTATATTTTTGAAATTTGATATGGCATCAACAAAGAGCTTTTCCACCAAAAAATTCAGTCTAATCTTCTTCAAGAACAGAGCATATCTCATAAGGTTTATGATCTTTAAAAAGTTTTTTAAAGAAAAGGTCTCATCACACAGTCCAGGATATCCTGGGACTTGCTGACCTCCAACTTAAGATCCTCCTCAAACTTGAGGTCCCTTACCCAGCCTGCTGAGTGCTGAGACTACCGGCACGCACAATAATACATGACACTTTATGATATTCTTAACAATAAAAAATTACCCAAACTATAAACAAGCATGAGCAGATGTGTAATACACCTTTTACAATTTAGTTCTTTTTCCAAGAAACCATAAGAACATTTTTCTTTTACCTTAACTACATCACAGTAAGGTTTTGAATTTGCCTTGAGGCAAAGTGGTGCAAGGATATAAATTAAGCCAGTTTTATTTTCAAATGCATTAAGTCCAGTCCTAATAATAATAATAATAATCCCTATTAATTCAGAAACTTGTTTTATGCAAGAAAAGTGTTGTCTTTGAGTGTTCACATAATTTTGAGGGAAAAAACACAAATACTTTTATGTAATGTTTTAGATTCAGTCAGGTGTAAGATTCCACTTTTCGTTTCATATTGTCTTCTGAGAACATAATTTTAATTATAACCATTGTGCTTTCTGGAAACAAAGCAGCAACAATTGTTAACGTTTGCCTTTTAAGATGGGAGAGACCTGCAAACATTATGTATGTCTTACGTTAGCACTATACTACTTTAAGATCCCTCTTATTCCAGTGGGTCTCTTAGATAACAAAGATTCCAAAACTCCCTCTTGAATCTGCACATTGTGAGACCAACTTTAGTATGCTCATAGATCATTTTCAAGCATAAAACAATGAGGAATCACTGAAGAGGGTGGATCAATGTCAATGGAGCTTCTCCTAATGGTTCCTGCCCTTGCTGCCTCTCCCAGGCATGAGCAGGATGGCTGGACAGGCTGGTTACCTTCTTCCCTGGTGCGTATGCCTGCTCACTTTCTCTCATGGCTAAGTACATCACGGGGTACAGCACTTTTTTCTTACCAATCATATTTTATAGCATTGCTTTCAACTGAACCCTAACTGGGTGGAGATGGACTGGCCTGATCATTCACTCTTTGTACAGTGGGGAAGAAATCTGGGTACCATAACTATGCACTGATATTTTCTCTTTCTTGCCTGCAGGGAACGTTAGTGATTCATTAGGAGAAAAATTCACTCAGGACAGAATAAAGTCTGAAGATTTATGATAAAAACCTTCCAAGTCCTATGAAAGCATTTGTTTTTTCAATAATTTTTAAAGGCTTGATAACTGACTTTCACAGCTGTTATGGTTTAGGTCTAAAATGTTCCTCAAGTCTTAAGCGCTCAGAGGTGGAGTCTAGTTGGAAGAGGTGAGGCATAGGGATGTGACCTAGAAGGATGTATTTTTGCCTCTGACTTCTTGGCGCTTTACTTCCTGGCTGCCATGAAATGAGCAGCTTTCTTCCATGCTTTTCTACCATGCCATTTTCTGCTTTGGAACCAGCTGGCCATGTTCTGAATCCACTGAAACTGTGAGCCAAATTAAGCCTGTCCACCTTTAAGTTGAAGGAGTTGGGTATTTTGTTCTTGCGACAGTAGAGTGACTAATATAGCAGCTCTGAATATGTTCGTCTGAGACCACAACTTCTTTTTCCTTCCTTTCCTATTCTCATTTCCATTGAAGCTGAACTTCAATCTCCTGTCCCAAGAACTCTATCCTTTCAGGATTTGATAGCTTCCAGTTTTCTTTTCCTTTTCAACCTGAAACTCCCACTCATGTCAAATGGATATCCAATGCTATCCCTACACCAGGTTGCTAACATTCTTTTGATATGTTGAAAATACTATTATCAAATCAGTTTTTCTGTTGTAAACTGTCACCATGTACCTTAAGTCCTCAGTTTTGTTCTTATTCCACATTCTAGGTTAATGAGAAAACAGGTTTTATTTACTGTGCCCCCAGGATCTTTCAGCATTGTCTATTCAAGTACATATGCTTTCATATTATAAATTCATTAACTAAGTTCTCTCTTGAAAGGCAGGTGTGCTCCCTGCGGCAGCACTTAAACTAAAATTGAAAGGCAGGGACTGAGTTCTGTTCCTCTATTCCTCTTCATAGCTACGTTAGCACCAAGTATTTTCTAAAACACAAGTGTGTTACTTATTAATAAAAACAAGAAAAGCTAACATAGTATAATGGACTCTTAAATTTAGCACTATATTTTTAATGGATTAATAAAGCAGGGATATCAACTTAATTGACACAATACTGAATAGGTTCTAGAAAGAACTATGGTATGTATCAAGGCTACACAACTTTTAGGATGGTAGAAATGGGACGAGATGGATGTGAGATGCATGAAATGGAAGAAGGAACTGTCAAATAATGTGATTCACCAAAATGCTACACTAACATTACAAAATGAAGTCTTATGGCTAGAGAAGTAGCCCAGTGGCAGGG